AACTTGTTTTTATTGGAATAAAATCCACACATTCCTTACATATTTTGAGCTCCGATTAATATCACTTAATTGGGCACCTTATGGAACACAAACTCGAAAGGAGTACCCGTGGAAGCCAAACGTCTGACCCCCTTATCTACGTAAATGCTTACGTTAAAGCAAGCATAAACAGCTCCTCCACAATGATAGGGACAGTGTTGAAGCATGTAGCTGTGCACCTTTGGATTTGTCGGTTTTGGATACTCCACAAGCTGAAAACATGTAATATCCTCTTCAAAACTCCCACCAGTTGTAATCAAGTTTTCAGGTGCCTTTGCTTCAGCATCAGGGATCGTCCAAAATGTCGACTTGTCGCATGGACCTTTTAGCAACCCCGAATCAATACCAAGATTGTGGTTTGTGAGGAGATATTTGAGCCGCTCTCCTTCAGTGATCAGAGTGAACATGAAAGTATCACCAAGGTTAGATGCAGATGGATCCTGCACCACGTCGAATGGACATATTGTCTTATTGTGCATTGTGTTGGTTAACTTGAATCCGCCACCTTTAGCCGCCGTGACTGGACCAATGTGGTAGGGAACACCGTTCAAGACCTTTTTCCCGGTAGCATCTTTTACGGCATCTTGGGTGGCGGATGCAATGTCGCTGGTGATGATGAAGAGAAAGAAGGAAACATAAAATAGAGATGGGTTCATGTTTAAGAATCGCTTGATAGATAACACATAGATGTTTGTTGTTATAAGTAGCAGGTGGTAATTGGTATAAATAGACCAGCTGCATGTAAATCAATATTTTATTGTTAATTCATATTTCAAACAATTTACCTTTAAATGCGTTGTGGGTTTTGACATGTTTTTCTGCTAACATTAGTCGTTATCAACCAGAAGGCACATTGTTTTTGCTCTAGTTTTATGCAGGGAGGTGCCGAAAGATGACTTCCATTATTGTATTGCCTTTTATCATGTTTTGATTTTTTGTTACGGTATGGTATGGACTTGTATAGTGGAATACCATTCGATGACGAGGATGGTCCCGCTATAGATTTCACAATTTCCTGTTTGAACACCAAAAGACAATTAACTAGGAGCAACCATGTCCGATGATTGGTTCTTGTAGGGTTAATTCAGAGAGGTTCTTAAGACGTTAAAGTGTAGTCGTACTCGTATCGTAAAGTCCCTATTGGTGTATGCAATAAAGAATGATAGTTATCTATATTTTGAGTTGGAGATGGGTATGGGTATGGAAATAGAGAAGTGGTTTTGAGTGAGAGTAGTTTTAGGAAGTGATACCAGCGGTTGTTTGATATACCGTCAAACAAGTTGAGAATTCCAAGTTTACAATGAGATAGGATCATCCGACTTGGCCACACTTACGTGCCGCCATCAACCATTCCCAATCCCATATATATATATATATATATATATATATATATATATATATATATATATTTTAAAATAATGTTTTTAAGATTTGTAAGACCATCTTTTTATATTTGGAACTTTATAGTGAAACACTGTAAAATTAACCTTCACAATGTTTTTGTTGTGAAGTTTAATTTTTTTTACCTTTACGATATTTTGCTGTGAAGTTTCAAATGTAATCTTACAGATCTCATGAAAACAATATCATCTCACATGAATTCAACCTTGTACATAGACTTGGGATCATGAGTTCGGCGGATTTAGCCTACGAAATCCACAATCCGCACCCCCCAGCGCGCATAGGTGTTGGAGCATAACATTGCATAATAGCTTGAAAGCACTTGTGAAGTCCATGGTTATAAACCATGAAAACTTCAATCACCCCACCTATGTGGGATACCTCCCACACACCCATTTGGTTTTGCTAAACTCATCCCAAGTACCCAACTTTGAGTCTCGATATCTCATTCACACATACTCGGTTTTGGACACATTATATATGGTTTCGAAGCTCTCATAACGAAGAACGTAAACCCACTAAGAGTCAATTAAAATTAAACCATATACATGTAGTTAAATGTGCCCAAAGTTAGTAAAAAATCACATTTTCTACTTAAAAATTTCCAACATATATATATATATATACATATACATACATACATATATATATATATATATATTATAATTTATGGTGTAAATGAAATGTAGTATGCAAAACATATACATTATGAAAGTGGTTGTGGTCATAAATGAGATATAATATACGAATCGTCAACTATGGCCGTAGGGCCTACCACGTTTTCTATTATAATTTTGTAACTTGTATGTATCTTGATTAAGTTTATAAAACGTTGAAGAACAATAAAAAATTGAATGAAAAAGATATAATATATACATAAAAAAGACRAAGTAACTAACTTAAGTTGACAAGCATTTTATAATTTGATAAGCATTCATATTAACAGTTTCCTGTTTTCTCGCCGTCCTATAGATAACAACAATGCCCAATCCTAAAAATCAACAACCTCCATTTTTTTTTAAATCACACAAAATACCTTACTCCTAGCTATCAGTTGTATTAAATCAAGATTTTATTGCTAATGCACAATACAAACTACTTTTTAATGCCCTAGATTTCACCAAAAAGACGTTCAAGGAATTGAATGGTCTCCTGCGTTACCGGTTATTGGCTTGGAAATCATTGGATTAATGGTGTTGGTGCTTAGACAGGTCCAAAAATCGACCCCACACCTGTCCCAAWTTTGGCCCTTAAAAGCCGGGTTGGCTGGTCCTATCCCGATTGACCACAATCGTTGGACCAATTTTCACAAAGATATTTTTTTATATAAGTTTTTTTAGTTACGATTTTTTAAACTTAGTATTGAAAAACTTTACAAATAAAAACTTGAAAATATTATAATAATCTTGAAACACCTTGTACTATAATATGAGAGCCTTGAAATTCAAATAGTAAAATCGGTCCCGAACCATCGGGCTGTTACTAGTTCCATCCAGTAGGTCTCGGGATGGGTCAGGCCGAGCTTTAGGCTGAGGTGGGCCTGAATGGTGCGTGGATTTGTTTGCATATGGACATGGGCATTGGAGTTTAATTGGGCATGGTCATTGGGGTTAATTATTTTAGTGATCATGATTTTGGAGAAGGGCTTGGGTACCAATAAGCAATAACGTTTAAGCATTTGAAGTTTGTTCGAGATAATGTAGAACTCATCCGTTTGAATATTATATACATACAAAGCTGAGGTTCGAACTTCAAACTAGAACAATAACAAATAAAACAACATGAAAACGGTTAAATTACGTGATTTTACATTAATGATCAACGTAAAAATGTGCGGACGATGTGGCCCGTAACCTTAGATCGTGGCCAAAATAACGTGAATCACATTTGATTCGACAATTTCTTTTTTATTTTTTTATTTTGTTGTTGTCTTGTATTCATCCAACTCCACATGACACATGCATATACATATACAAGTAATATCTATATACATATCAAATATTTAATAGCTGTAAACACGTGCGATACAATTTAATACAATATTTTGTTGTAAACCCGAGAATTGAATAAAAAATTCATGTAAGTTATGTATAATTTGATTTTTCTTTAAAACTTTATCCTTGGGGATCATGTGATTCAAAATGCGACCAATTTAGTTTATCTTTTGTTTCCTAGCATAATAAATATATCTCTTTGTGGCCACGAAGTTTCAAATGTGATAACTCCGGGCTATCTGCAAAGCAGATGGTCGTCTTGGGATTAGTCGACTCGCATAGCAGGTTGGATATCCATGTTAATAAAAATAAAATAAAATAAATCTAACTAGTTTCTGTGGAGTCGACGTGCTTACTCATCACTATTACAATTTATATTGTTGTTAGAGTAAGAACAATTATTTTAAGTGGATTCGACATCCATCGTCGATATAAAGCATTTTGTACATTTTATTTTAACTTCACATGCATAAAATCATTTTGTTACACATTACCGATGATCATTTATGTCGGTACTATACTCWTTGAAAATATATCGGGTTGACGGATATTTTTCATTTGAAATCCGTMGGTAAATATATCTTCATTGACGGCTTATTAATTACCGACAAATATGTTTGTCGATAATAACTTGTTTTTATGTGAACCAGAGACTCGTGAACCAAACTCACATGCACCATTTTGTCCACATAAGGGAATTTGTACCGTAGCTCGTCCATTTTACCATTGACCTAGATCCGTAACATCAATGGTATGCTTGGTATCCATAGATGATATATAGAATAGGACAATACATGATAGAACATGACAGAACAGTTGTTCAACGTTTGGTAAGACAAAACTGGACAAATAAAATGACTATTGTACATGTAACGAGTTGTTTATATATTATATATATTTTGA